TAAATGTTGTGTTTCCTGTTTCCCGACCGACCCTAAAAAAAACCGCCGACCCTAGCCTTATTTTTGTGTGGACCCCTGCATATTGCTGAACCAAAACATTTTGCACGACGCTACCGAGAGAATCGCTGTTATTGGTGGAACATCGGGCGCCCCGCTAGCGTTTTGAAGTCGTGTAAACAACGCTAATAATTTGTCTGATTTGTTTGTAAAACAAAGCCATCGACTCCGAAAATAGTTTAAAAGCCGATACATTTACGAACTAATCGTAGAAAATTCCCTACCGTACTGCACCATCAGCATGCGGCGGCCGCAAAAATTCGGCAACGCGAAAAAAAAATGTATGGTCCATGATAGCAGTATTTCTCATAAAAATAATGTATATGATGTATTTTTCCCCCTTTGTCGGTCTTTTAGTCCCAAAACGTCTAAAAAAGCGGAAATTTGCCCATAAAACCGGACGAGGAAAGGTAGCTATCGACGTAAACAAATTATAAGCACATGGCGAAAATCAGCAAAATCGGCAACGGGACAGAAAAATGCCTGGTCCATTTATCGATATTTACCATGAAAATGTCGTCTGTGGTGTATTTTTCCTCTGATGTGAGTTTTTAGGTCGCAAAACCTCTAAAAAAGCAGAAATTTGCCCACGAAAACGGACTGGCAAGGCATGGGGAGGGCGCGTGTTGACGCCTGCATGACCCCCAAAGGTTGAAGGTCATAGGGCACGTCCATTGCGCAATAACCTTAAATCGCCGATTTAGCTAATTTTTTGGGGTTTCAAATTGATACAATCACACTATCGATTTTTAGGCAAACAAAGGGATAGAAACCAATTAAAATTTTGTGCAGTATTAATTTTTTTTTCTTTAGAATTCTTTTTTGTTTCCTTTTTTTTCTCCCAAATCCCTGGGAGAACCCTGAAAACCTGTAGACTTGAATCAGGACCTGAATCTGAATTTAGCCCTGCAAGGGCTAGGGACATCTGATCGACCGTTTAAAGCTCCATGATCTGACACCTGAGTACCTGAGTGATGAAATATAATATTGCACAATCGATTTTTCATCATGTTCTGCTTATATAAACACAGCAATCAGCAAAGTCTAAAAAAAATAAAAATAAAAATAAAATAAGATAATCCCTACCTACCGACCCTACTTTTTTCTGGACTGAAACAGGAAACACAACATTTTTTTTCCTTGGCCCAAGCACAATGAACAGTGGACCACAGCTTAATGTCCCGTCCTAAGGACTGCGACCCCTTCCAGTAGCGTGCACGTCGGGTGATCGACAATGGTCGGAATTTGGATATCCAACCTCGTGTTCCAGAAGGGGGGACACTAGCCACTGGACCATGCATGCTACAAATGACATGTGCATTCAAATATATAATGTATGCTACATGTATATCCCTACTGTATTTTTTTAGGGATAGGGATTTTTCCTGTGACTAGGAAAGGGTTCTTTATAATACCCTCACAATCCTAAACCACAACCCCCCCTACTGTACCTGTTCCTGGGTGGGGACGTCTCCTGTAACCAGCAGCCAGAACAGTCCCTCGGGGAGGGGCTCCTCCCCACCCTGCGCCGTGGGCAGGACCTTCTGGCACTCGGGGATACTCAGCCCGCGGAAACGGATGCCCTGGGAAGGAAAAACAATTCAGGGTTACCTTCAACTTTTGTTTTCGTGTGCAAGGCCATTATGCTTTGCCATTTGCAATCTGTTATACTGTAGATAAAATCTTATGCAGATACTGTACATAGATCTATAACTACGAACTTTTAAGAACAGGAACTCTAAGCCATGTAAAAATGGTTGCCATTAGATTAAATTTGCAGGTAAGACTGCACTGATTTTTATTTGAATGAGATATGAAGAGGACTATACATGATGTTATAAAAAAAGTTGATGTATTGTTGATGTGTGGTAAGATTGACTTAATAATGTAAACAACATAAAAGCTGTGGCCATACCTCCTCTGGGTCCAGTACAGATGTCTCACAGATCATGGACTTCATACCTCTCATGCCACCATACAACTATGGGTGGGGAAAAATTAACAGTATTCAAGGCTTAATCTGAACATGACACGTACATGACTTCATCCCATGAATAACAGTATTATCTTGTACAGCAATGATTCTGCAGTGAAAATACACTAAGTTCTAGTTCACATATCACATCATTTTATCATTACAATTCTTAGAATTAACTTGACAACCCTATACTGCAATTTTGAAACCAAATCATAGAGCACATAATCACTTTCCCACCTGGTCAATCTGGATGTCCCCAATCTTACTGGCACCATGTTGACTCCTAAAGCTCTTGATTTCTTCCTGCTTCACTGGGATCATGGCCGCTAGGACCTCCTTAAGATCCTTTGAAAGGGACAAGTGAACCATATACGCTTAACATTCTTACTGCTTAGGTAGCCTTGTGGAATACAAAAATGCATGGCTTATAGCTTACAAAGCAGGGAAAAGGTTGAAACGGAATAGTGCATTTAGAGGGTGTCATTTTGTATAGACATGCATTACGATATATTTTTCCCAGAACTGTTACAGTGACAGTTAAGCTACTCTTTGCTCACCGTTTGTGACTGTGTTGCATATTTCCTGAGGCCATTACTGAACCTTGGAATCAGAGGCTATGAGGAACAAAGAAATATTTCTGTAAGTATTCATAACAAAATGCAATCTTTTCACATCATACACACTACATGTACTGCATTTCAATTTCAATCACAACCCCTTTTTCCTTGTGCCTGTGCACCTGTTGGGTTTTCCTTGACAGGTGCCTCACCTCTGGGCGTCATTGCTGTACAGATTTCCCCTGGGACTGGTACAGAACCTAGCACTGATTAAACTGGCCATCATTTATTATACTGTATATGTTGTAACACAATAACACTTACACTCTGTACTAGAACAATCCTACAGGAGGTCAAAGAATGACAACAACATTTTTGGATTATTATTACCATACTCCTAGATCTTGTAAATGTGATACATACAAGAAAAATTACATGTCCAAATACTCTTAATTAATAATAAAAATAAGTATAAAATATTACAGCACATTTCTATCATGTAAGGAATCATCTTGAGAACGCAAATCTTTCCATAAAAAAAGCTGTTGTCTTGACAGCACTAGTGTCACCTTGACATAACATATATGACCTTTACTACATGTATTCCATTATCGGCTATATATAGGACATTCTCTGAAAAGTCTACTTGACAAATCTGGTCACCTCAATGGCATATTACTAGTACACAGCTTTGAAGTTGAAAGTAGAAACCATATACTTGGTTGAAATTCTTGAATAGTACGGCTTGGCAGATACATGCAAGGCCCAAAGGTCACTGCTTCTTTCTGGCATACCTGGCTAGATGTTGTGTCCTTGAGAAAGTCACTTCACTTGCCATTGTGATTTCTCACTCCACCCAGGTGTAAATGGGGATACTAGTAACAAGTGCTCAAGATTGATTTTGAGCCCAAAGCCTCCATGCTGATACTAGTATTCCCCTGATAGCCATAATTAGCACTTCGAGTCCTAGTTTCCCCTTATCTGTAGTATGTATCTGTGAGTGGATCCAGTTCCATTAGCTGGCCTGGGTCTCCTATCTGCCATGCAATGATGTCACGGTGAGCCATGGGAGCATTCAGGAGCTATGACAGACTATTCTGTCCTAGCAAGCTACTGTGTCGTGTGGGTGTAAATTGTAATGATGGGCCATCACAAAAGTGGGCCTGACACATCTTTTATAGATACAAATGACACAGTTTATATCATATGTTATGACTGTGGTTCTATTTATGAAATGCTTGGTTTCTTTCTTGTACTTATAGTATTATACACAATACATGTATTCATAATTTATAAAATGCCTTGGTGAAAACTGTTTATTGGACAGCCATTCTAAGCTTGTGGTCGACTCGGTCACTATTCCACATGGCACATATGTTCTATCCTAACCATTTTATTGGGGTTAAGTGGGTCAACTTGTAAATCATTTATTGTTTAACAAGCTGCCATTATTTATGGCCTTATCCAACATACCAGGCAGTACTTAAGACACTTCAAAATCTCCATGAAAAACTATATCACCAACGTTTTTCAAGAAAAATCTCATCTGAATCAACCCAAGAAGCCTTTCAAAGTGCTAAGCTTGTAAATTATTCAATATGTGTACCACACTATCTTTTGTTCTACCGGCACATAATCTGGGTCAATGGGTTGGTGGAGTGATTTGGACAATGTATTATGTTTTTACTTAACTTTTTTGCCTAACCATCAACCTTATGCAAGTTGACAACATGATCATTAGTCTCTTCCCATGGCCTTACCAACAATGTTCTCAATCAGAAAATTTCCAAGGCAAATTTGGTCACATGTGAGAGGTCGACTTTGCTGGACGATGTGTCCTACAAAAATGGTCAGGCATACAAATATGACACCCCTTGAAAGGAAAGAAGCCTTGACATACTGAAAAAATGATGTATCAGTACAATCTCTTTCTATTTGTAGTAGTATATGATGTAAAATGTAGTAGTCTTACACATCAGATCTACATTTGCATGCTTGAGAGAAGTTGAGACAAATAGCTCTGGGCCTTCCTCAGATAGGCAAGATTTCCTCAGGGCATGTTGGCTGAAGACAATTTGTAAGGTCCTGGCAACAGTGTGTCAGTCTGAGTCTTGAGTCCAGGTTACAAAAATTTGGAATTCAGGTCTGACCATCATCATAGTTTTTATACCTCCTTTCAGAAATTCACGCAAGTCTGATACATTTCTATATATAGAGAGAAACAATTTATAAAGATTTTCTGGGAAAACAGGTCTGACCTCCACATACAGGAAGTTAAAGAAATCCATAAATTACCTGTCCCTGAAACTATGAAACAGACATGTATGCAACAAACACCCTCTATATCGAGAATTCGTCCATATCCTAATGTCTTTATGCATTACAGACACTACATAGATAACTTATAACGTTTAAAGACCAAGGAGGTCAATCTTTAACCTCTTGAGCAAACTGAAAGTCACATGTACTGAGAGTGACACTAAATCTTCGCCATAGTCATGTAGGGTATCGACAGTGCTTTTGATACATTGAGCATGGTTACAAAATACTTTATAACTCCAACTTATGACAGTAAAAAACACAAAAGTTAAGAATTTTGTATCTTATAGCTTGTTGCAACATCACGGTGACCCAGCTGACGCCCCGACAGTCCACCTTGTTCGCGCCCCCCTCCCTCCTCACCGGAGTTGCTCACGTGCGATCGAGGCATACGACTCATGATAAGCGGCTTAAACTGCTTAAACAAAGACATCGGAATGTTGAGAATTGTCTTACCTTTGTTGGGGCGTAAAGCCGCGCCGTAACTGTTCTAAACATGGACATTTTTCCGTCGAAAACGAACCTTTCCCCCACCGAGGGCAATGTACCGGTCAAAGTGCTCCCGTAAGTGAGACTTGTCCCGATTGTGATTGGACAATGTTGATAACAAACCAGTCGTTTATTGGTCAATCTCTGTTTTAATTTATGTTTTGAATGTTCTGATTGGCTGGTACAGACAGTGTTCGAAAAATAACTGAGTCTGCGCAGTAGATAAGGGTAACCCCAGTGACGTCACAAATAAATAAATGCTTGCCTGTCACATTTATAGTAAAGGCAAGAAACCGTGACTTTGTGACGATCTTTGAATATCTAACAATCATTATCCAGTCATTGATCATGGTCTTTGAACAATGTTTGCTTGGGTAAATTTTGTAAGGACATCCCTCGCGAATTAGTACATGTACTTTGATCTTATAAAACCTGGCCACTCAAGTTGACATCTTGTAGTCCTGATCTTTGAACTTTAGACCTTGGACTTCTTCAGATACAGACATTAGGTGATGTTTGTGAGGAAGTTGGGGCAGGCCTGCAGCAGAGGGACCAAGGCTAGAAGGTACAATATGTCAAGCAGGGACAAGGGCATAACCCTGCAAATTGGCAAGACTACATAACATTGGATTGTAACATTAATGTTTTGTATTTACATGGATATTTATCATGGGGTGATTGGCAAAACTAGTCTGCGGGTGCTCCATTCTGATTTTTGGGCAAGGCATTTGACTATGCGATTCGAAGAATTTTACAGAACCCCATTATTATACACAAAGTTATACAGCAGACTGTATGTTGTTCTGTCAGGTGGCCTGCATTTGTAAGCTGCTGCTGCTGCCATTTACCAAGGATGGCGAAGTTGCATTCTGGGAAAGGAGATCACTTGGAGAGGACCAAGGAGAACACCAGACAGCAGGTAGAGACAGCTATCTGAAAAAAATCAAGGTCAAAATTAACTACAGATAAGATAATGCTTAACAACGTTACCTGTGAACTGTTATTATTTTGCACAAAATGTCATTTTACATGACTGTATGTGTTGTGCGCTTTAAAGTGTGCATGTATATTCAACCAATGAAATTTTCTTTAACATTAAACAACAGGCATGACTAACATATGTCTTTTTTGCAGACCTTGACAGAAGCTGTGGTGGAGAGTATGTATGACCTCTCACCTACAGTGAAAAGTCTCAGTCTCAAGGTTAACAATGAGGATTTCAGCTTCAAAGCTGGACAATGGTGAGGAGCGACAAAATCTCAAACTAAGTCTCTTGGTCAGACTTTTACCTGCTCACTAGAGGAAGATGCAAAGATGCAGAATAGGCAGAAAAAGACCAAGAAATAAACCCCTGCTGATTCATTCTGCATAGAGCCAATCCAATGCAAGTTCAGGGTGGGGTGGTAGAACAAGAAATATTCTGAAGGAGGAAATCTATCATTTCTCAGAACATTTTTGTCATGATTTCATCCTTGAAGCGACAAAAACAACCTACGTGAGTCCCTTTATTTTTTGGTACCACCAATAAATAGCTAGAAGAATGCCCTAAGAAGTAGCTGTCATATTCATGGTCACATCCGTTCCAACTTTATTGTTTTTCCCTTTGTACAGGGTTGACTTTTTCATCCCCTCCATAAAAACTGTTGGCGGCTATTCCATGAGCTCTGCACCCCACAAACTACAGCACCAAGGCATACTAGAGCTGGCTGTTAAGTTTAGTCAACACCCCCCTGCCAAGTGGGTCCACACACAGGTAACAGCTGTTCACTTTTGTGTTGTCCCTCCCTAGGGTGGACTTCTTTATCCCAGAGTTGGAGGGTGAGTTCACAGGGTTCTCTATGACCTCAGCACCGGGTCAGCTGGAGCATGATGGGATACTTGACCTGGCAGTAAAATGTAGTGAAGAGGCGCCGGCACATTGGGTGCACCACAAGGTGGCAGTTTTTTGTTTCCTGTTCTGGCTATACTAAACTTTGCGAAAGGCTTGACAAATTGCTATGCTGACAGGTCTGGCACTCAAATGCTCACACAAAAGAAATGAAAGCCAAAAAACTTTCCATCTCATCTGTACTGTATCTGTATTAGCTAATGTACATTGCTTCTGGCGCAATTCTGATGAATGTGCTCATTGTGGTTCGAAAATTAGTGTGATAAAGGGTTAGACAATATGACACTACAGTTAAAAGTCATATTGCTATGTTCTAGTAAAAATGTATATACATGTATCTGCCATTTTCTACTTCTTGCTTTTAAATAAAAAAAGATTAGCTCTTCAATCTACATTATCAGTAGTAAATGTGGTAGACTTTTGTAAGATTAATCATCCTGCTACAATGATATGATCTCTTATTTCAGTGTCATGTTGGGTCAAAGGTTAGAATGAGAGCAGGAGGAGACTTCAACTTTGACCCCCAAGATGGAGACCAATCAAAAGACTTGCTGCTAATTGCAGGAGGTGTAGGGATAAACCCCCTGTACTCAATAGTGCAACATGTGGTGGACTTACATCGCTTGAGTCAGAAAAGTGAAACAGCGTACAAACCAGGACGGACTGTGCTACTGTACAGTGCCAGGGATGAAGGGGAGTTGTTGTTTAGGGTAAGAAAATGTTATTTTTGTGTAGTGAAATAAAATGTTTGGGTTTCATTGAAAGTTTTCTACATATTCTTGGTGCTGAACAACATAAGACCTGTCCTTGGTGCTGAACACCATCAACACACAAGAAAACATACCTGTCCTTAGTGCTGAACACCATCAACACACAAGAAAACATACCTGTCCTTAGTGCTGAACACCATCAACACACAAGAAAACATACCTGTCCTTGGTGCTGAACCCCATAAACACACAAGTGAGCAGACCTGTCCTTGGTGCTGAACACCTTCCACGCACAGCTACAGGAAAATGTGCCTGTTCTTGGTGCTGAACACTTTCCACACACAGGAAAATGTCCTTGGTACTGAACACTGTCTACAAACAGTATTTCAGGAGTTACATTTTGATGCAGGATGTTGAACTTTCCCATACTTTTAGGTTGGTGTACTAGTACATGTACAATGATTGATTAGATGAATAGATGGGTCAATAAATAAGTATCAGAACATATGACATTGAGAAAGACCAAATGTTGCAGTTGCATTTTTCTGATATAGGAGCAGATTCTGAGGCTGTGTAAGGAGGTTCCTGACATCTCCTTTCAGTGCTTTGTGACTCAGCAGCAGGAGTTCAAAGACCCCAGCCAGTTCCCTAGGCCAAAGGGTATGAAAAAAAATCATCTAACCTTGCTTATGTATAAAACTTTGAAAGTCCCTCTTTTCATTCATTTTGATTCTTTGTATCAAAATAGAACAAGAAGGTTAGATTCTGACGTAATCAGCAATTTATTTTAGTTAACAATTATTATTAAGATACCCTTCAACTGCAAAGAAAGAATGATCCTGTTATGATATTTTCTTGCTCCAGTGGGGAGAATCACACAAGAAGACCTGAAGGCGGAGCTATCTTGTCTCCATGGCGATCACATCTTGTCGTACATCTGCGGCCCCCCTCCCATGATCGAGTCCATGGCAGACCAGCTCAGCTGTCTGGGGGTGGACAGAGGGAACATCAAGTTTGAGAAGTGGTGGTGACAGTCTGGTATAGCTGGAAGGGATCATGAACTTTATGCTTTAGGCCATACTGGGGTTCTGTCCAGTGTCTTGTGGTATTCTTGTCATTTGAGAGAATCTTGTTGCTAAAGACACAATCATGGCCATTGTGTCATTTTGACCAGGGAGGTTGGCTCAAATTAGGACTACTAGGATATGGATTAATCACACCAAGAGAATTGGTGTGGCCTTAGCTGTGTCAGGTGAAACTTTAGTTACTCAGTGATATCATCATCATCATCATCATACATGATATACCTTGCTGGTTTGGGAATTACATGAATTTAATATCTTAAAAGAGCATGAATGACGCATGGAACATACCTTCTCAATTGGTCTTGTGTTAACCAATATTAATGGAAATTCCACAGCCCTTAGCAATAGATGAGTTTTGGTGGCTGAGGAAAGCGTCTTTCAATGTAATGTTCCTTCCTAATAAGCGTCATCATAAATTCCTGTCACTTACTTGCACACCTGTATAATAGCCTTCATTTCTGTCCTTGGTAACCAAAAGAAATCACATACTAGTTTTGAGTGACTTGCAGCTTGATTTTCTAATAACAGTTTATCCATTAAAAAAACAGCCTCCCAGCCTGTAGGTACAAAAACATGCTGAATAAGACGGATTTTTTACAGTTACTTGTCAGGCAAATACAAATTAACATTGCAATATATATAAAAACACATGAACAAAAACCTTAGAAAAAGCCTCACATGGGCACTAAAGTAAAGACCAGAGAGTCCTAAGAGTCTTACTTCGAAAACTCGTTGTACAGGCATATTGCCTTGTGTAAGAAAGAGTGCATTTCAGACATGATCATGAATTGACAACCCTCTTGTTAATGCGCAGTATCTTGCTATGTTGTGGCTGCCGCCCGCCTCTCACTGATCGTACGATCCGTTGAATATACACATAGAACTTTCAGAGTTCAAAAACAGGAACAACTGTCATCTGTTATTTGACTTTTTTTTTCAGATTTCGTAGCATTTCAATGATAGCTGGTACATTACATTTTCTGTAGATGGTAACGTTGTGTATGACTTTTAAAAAAATCCAAAGTTCAGTCTTATTTTGTAAAACTAGAAGACGTCAAACAAAATAAAACAGGGTTTGTGTCGTCTGTATATTGATACAACCTATTTCATTTAAAAAATCCGTAAGGCCGGACTGACTTGATTTTGTAGATGGCAGTCTACTTCGTACTGAAGCTGAAACATCGGCACATGTACTACTTAGCTGTGGCAGGTGAAACTTTTTTTTTACTCAGTAATGTACCATATGAATTTGGGGAGAACATGCATATTTATTTGATATCATCTTAAAAGAATGTGAATGACGCACGAAACATACCTTTCACTCATCCTTGTGTTAACGAAAATTGATAGAAATTCCGAGGAATGCACCTTTCATTGTAATGTCCTTACTTGATAAATGTCATCAGAAATTTTCCTGTCACTTAATTGCACACCTGTATAATAGCCTATCTTGCTGTCCTTGGTAACCACACCAAATCACATGAATTGACTTGTGGCTTGGCATTTTTTTCTGACATGAATTGAGAGCCCTCTTGGTACTGTGCAGCTTCTTGCTTTATTCTGGCTGCTGACTATCGCAGACGTCTGTGCCGCCGCTTACTGGTCCTGCGTCTGGCGCTGAAGTCTGACCACATCCAACTCAACCATGTTCAACGTTAACAACAGCTCTCTTTTGCCATCTGGTACCGGCGAGACATCAGAAGGAGACTTCACCAGGCGAATTCCCTGCATCCTGTGGCACTTACAAAACAAGTCATCCTACGACCAAGCCCAAGAAGCCTGCTCCGCGTACACAGACTTCATGGAGTTGGGAACAGGAATGGCTGTCGTGTTCTGGCTGGTAGGACTCGTGCATTATCATTTCTAACGCTGCCGTGCTTTGGGGAATCATCCGAGCACCAGAGCTACGCAAACAACTCTCCTTTCTCATGGCAAACCTAGCTGTGGCAGACATGTTAGCTGGTATTGGACTCCTCTTACGGTGTCAAGCTGTACCGGTAGGGTTGACCGGACTGTATTTCACAATGAATATTGCGACTTTCCTATTATATAGTCAGATGATGTCTGCATCAGCACTATGCCTGATGTCTATAAGCTCTTATGTTGCTATAAGGCATCCTATATTTTTCCACACCCATGCTCACAGGGCAAAACGCGACGCAGGTGTGGCCATTGTTTCTTCGTGGCTTGTTCTGACCCTGTTTGGTTTCGCGCCCAGTATGGGTTGGAACTGTCTAGACATGCCAAATTTAAAGTGTTTCAACTTAAACCCCATAGTGTTTGGTTATCTTGTAGCTACCATAATGCTCTTACTAGCCGGTGTCATGCTGGTCACAAATATAAGTGTATTCATAGCCATCAAAGCAAGGCAAAAGAGAAGGCTTGGGCAGCCAGGGGGTCCCAACAATCCGGGACAAAACAGTGCAAAGCAAGATCAGCCTAACGATGCAGCAGAACGAAAATACCAAAGAAGTGTGCACAAGGCCAGGACTGTTATGATTCAGGTAGTAGCAGCCATTACATTTTGGCTATTACCCATGATAGTCATCCCAGTGTGCCGTCTGGCTGGGGAGAAGTGTCCGCTTCCACGCGCGGAGACAGGCGTAGCTTTCATGGTGGTGTTGAACTCGGCGGTCAATCCAGTCGCAACTATCATCCGCACACCGGACTTAAGAAAGACTATCCGTCAAGATGTTACAGCTATCCACGAGGCACTTGTCACCATGATGCGGGGAAACCGCGTGAACCCACAGGACGAAGAAACTCCCCAAAATCAGCGGGGCGGTACCGGGGCGGCTTCTGGGAGTGAACGGACCATGCCAACAGGCCAGCCCGCTACAGGACCAAAGGTAACTCGCTCTAACCAGGTAATGGCAGACTGTCTTGATCAAGAGATTGTAGAACTCGACTGAAAGAAAACTGCCCTGGAACCTCTACTTAGAAAGTCAAAATTTTGACATCATACATGTATGGACAGCAATGACAAGTGCTATATCTGAAACACCACATGATATAAAATAGGGTTCCTAGTGATTTTGATTCAGTAGAATGTAAATATATGTATGTTATGACTGTGCTGTCAGTGTAATACATTGTTAGTAGATGCAAATGTACATATAGCACATACCAGTTTGGTGTCGGGGAAAAACATTGTATTGATCGTTTCACATTCGTAAACTAATAAAAATGTGAACAATCACTTCAAGTCTAGAATGTTCTTGATGTGTTTCTGTCGTACGTAGGATGTAAGTCACACCCCTTCCCGCACCAGTTGCATTTTTTGTCGCTTGGTTGGGATACATTTTGATACTGATATTTCCCAGTGATTCCGATTTACGTTTCTTGTACACGTTTCATTAGCCCTTGCTTGTCAATGAGTAACTGCTACTTTTGCATTGAGTCAATGTCCCTTTTAAAATGCTATAGACCTACATGTTTACAAATGTTGGAGTGTACAGTTCCTGCCGTTTGTTCCTGTGTGACAGTGGGTCGGGGTTGGGGTTAGAGTTAGACGTCCTGTTGATATAGGAGCGTCTGGAAACCGTTGCGTGGCACGCGTTTATTGTTGAATAGAGGATAGGAAAAAAGAATTATTTATGACGCTTTAAACGTTCCGCAACGTCATAGACGATTGGAAGCGTTGGAAACCGTTGCGTAGCATGCGTAAATGTATATTGTTAAATAGAAAGTTGGGAAAGGAATCACTTTATGACGCTAGAAATGTTCCCGAACGTCATAGACCTATCGAACAAGAAGCATTATGACGCCGGGTGTAACCATAACTCAGGATGTCACGAACATCCTCCAAACCGCAACAAAAAAGAGCCAAGCAAGAAAATGGCAGAAGGTCCAAAAAGTCGTCAAGTAAAGTCACTGTTACTGGAGGAGGGGGGAGGGTGCTAGCCTCCAAGCGCCGCGGTAGCGTGAAGAAAGTAGATAACCAGCGAAAGCCGAGACAGAATGGGCGGGCGAATTCAAAGGCGACAGCGCAAGACTTGCGTCTGCGCGGACGGACGGTACAACTTGCGAACTCGCCAAGAGCGCGGCCGGGGACGTCTAGGCGACCGTCTACTTCAGCCAACAGCAGACGTGGTGCGGTGAAAACATCGTCAGCAAAGCAAATCCACAAAGCGCCTGAGCTCTGCTTCGAATTCTGCACAACAAAATTCCTCTAGGTCCGTGCCAGGTAAATACGTTGTAAAAATACAGTAAATCTGAATGAAAATGAATGAAACACATATTTTAATTTTCAGAAGTAGAAAAATGAGACGCTACCAAATTGTACTTATGTAGCTACATGTTTGGCTTATCTTGTCACTACCTTTGATAGCAATCACTATTGTCTTGATACAGATTATACAGATGTCGTTTTTGTGTTCACAACTAGTGTGCAAAGTGCCAAGAACAGGCCTCTTCAAATTTTGTAGGTAGCATACTTGTCCCTATATATGAAATAGGTGACTAAAACAATATTGTGTCAAACGTTCAGTACGAAGGAAAGGCCTCTTCAAAATTTGTACGTAGCACGCTAGCCCCTATGCATACATAAAAATTCGGTCTCGATTCATATGATTCAGCCGATATTTTGTGTTTGGAATGTGTGTGAAATGTTCAGTACCAAGGACAGGCCTCTTCAAAGTTTGTAGGTAGTACGCAGTCCAAACACTGTCTCGATACAAATGATTCAGCCGATATTTTGTGTTCAGAAGTATAGTGTATGAAATGTTCAGTACCAAGGACAGACCTTTTGAAAGTTAAAGTAGCACACTAGTCTTATACATAAAAAACTCCTGACTGAAACGCCTCTGTACTTTAGGTACAGGTTATGATCGTGAGTTGGTCCCCCGGCGCTGGGACGATGAGGGTAGACCCATCTACACCAGACGCGGCCGGCAGATGGTCATGGACATGAAGTCACGCAAGCGCAGTGAAGTCCCGGTACTCGTAGAGAGAGAGCTTCGAGGCGGAAGAATAGTCATCACAGAAAAACGATAAGAAATAGATACACTTCAAAGCAACAATTGAAAACACATATCTATGGTAACCATAATCATGTCTCAAATGTACATTTCATTTTAGTAACGTTAATACTGAATGAGCTCAAGTGACAGTAAATGTATGGTTGAAAATATGTAGTTTTTATGACATTTGTTTTGGGATGAGACGGTATACAATAGAGCTACTCATCGAGGTCCCCCCCTTATACAACATACAAATGCTAGGCAAGAGTAGGCGAGTGTGGTGCTCATAATGTCCTGAGTACATTGTTCCTGCATATTTGGGCTTTCTTCAGTTCCGGTATGGTCACGTACGCTTGGGATAATAGAAGAACAAGGCTCTTGTTTTATACCCATACCTTTCGCCGTTTGACTTCATTTTCTATATGGAATTCGTAAAAAAACAAACGAATAAACATGTTGTAATCTATAAAACAGTTTGCATCTGTATAAGGCGAGGTTTTACGTGGCAAAACATATGAATGTAGACAGGTTGCTCAGGTGTGGGGAGTGTTCAGTTCCAAGGACAGGTCTCTTCACAAGTGCAGTGTGTAGAGTTAAAAAAATAATGTAGTCAATTATCTTCTTTGTATTTATTTGTCTCTGTAGAATAGAAAATGTACAATCATATTGCTAGCCTACTGCAACAAAATACCCTATTTAATATCTTGTCACATCTCTAACCAGAAAAACATGACTCAAGTCTTGCTACATCATTATGCACTTCTTCATCTAACAAGTTTCAGCTCCTTTTTGCATCAGACTTGCAAGGTAATAATAATATTGCTTGTACCCCATGTGGCCACAGTTCAGAATCCAGCTCTTTTCTTACCATGTGGTCAGAATTTTCAGCTCCTTTTCACATCAGTAAGGACTTGCAAGTTAATATGATAATATTGCTTTTACCCCGTATGGCCACAGTTCAAAATCCAGCACTTTTCTTATATAATAAGTGGTTGGAATTTTCAGCTGCTTTTTTTCAACATGTCCAGTCCATGCATTGCTAAAGGCACTAATTAAGCAAATACTTTCAAAGAATATTTTCAGGATATCTGCAATGTCTTCCTGCATTATGCAGACCTAGCTTGAGTCACCCTGATGCTTACTATACAAACTTTTAATACTGATGTATACAAAAATACTGAGTCTGGGAGATGTCAATATATAAAGTGTCCCTTTGTCAGTGCAACAAGACTGTGGTGTGGACTAGAAACTGTGAGGGATTCTTAGTGGCTGTAATCAGATGATTTCTTGTTTGTTTCTATTGGTGATAATGTATACAAAAATATGAAATCTAAGAGTTATTATTGATAGATCATATACTATAGGTGTCACATCATCAGTAACATAGTGGTATGGTTGATTGTTGGTATTAATAATGTTTGTAGTCAGTTGATTTCTTGTTTCCATTGGTGATGATTGGCAGGTAACTTGATGTCATCAGTTAGGAGAGTTGATGGGAGATGAGGACCTCCTCATCTCTACGTACTTCCTGATGAGTGGATGGAAGATCATCTCTGTGTCCAGACCAAATGCAACAAATGCAAAAAATCCCTGCAGAGGAAAAAACAAACAATATTTGGTCATTGAAGTTCATCTTTGTTCGTAATAATCATAGTATAATGTTTAACTTATTCCATCACGAAGAGTACATAACCTTATTCACATGAGACTTTACATATAGGCCAGATGGCTACTTTAGCAAGCTGGAGGTTAAGAAAGTTTTTGTATGTATGTATGTATATGTCAGGGAACTTTGATACGTTAAGGCTACGATACAAATTATATGTCACAAGCCATTGTTTATACATGAGATACTGGGTATATCCAAATTCATGCACAACTCACCTGAGCATAGTTGAGGACACTATTTAGGAACTCCAGCTCGATATAGATGCCCTCCATGTTGTCCATTATCAGCCTCCAGATACATAAGAACAGCTCCTGGAATAGGGAGAGTTAGAATGAACCATAATACACGACTTAAATTTTGCAGTTTGTGAATGTGCAACAAAGTGGATGAACGGGAAAAAAAACACAAGATGCATATGTGCATTATCTCTGCAAAGAGAGACAAGTTAAAAATGTGACCATGAACACAGAGCAACACTAATTTCATATTCAAAGACTCACAATGATCATGGACAGTGTTAGACAGATCAGGAGCACCACATGTCTGGATACTTGATGGTCATGTGACTCTGACACTTGCTCCTCTTCATCCAACTGATACCCATCCCCTGCTCCTGGCATCAACGATTCTGAAAAACAACATTTTAGAGCTGTTAGAAGAAAAGAAAAAATAAATGGATGCACGATTGTAGTGATTAGAAATAAAGGATAGGCAATATGTTATGGAGATAGACACTAATTGAACATACATATTCACTAGCCACTACATTTTTTGCTCAGAATTTGCATGGAAAAAGGAACAAAGTAAGCCACTGCTACAGTACAAATCACTAATTTAGCATCCATTTTGCCAAAACCTGAGACATTGTTGAATGTATTCAAGCAGGCACTGCAATAAATAAAGTACCGTTACCCTAATGCAACCCATAATGTTTCTTTCTAACTAATCTAACTTAGGAGGGTTGATCTGTGTTACCTGATGACAATGACTGGTAGGAGAAGATTCCCTGAGAAGTTCTGCTTCTGTGGAGGTCTTGTCTCTGAAGGCCAGGCTCCGTGGAGGTCAGCAGGGGACACTCTACAGAACACATTCAAGTACACGTACATTTAGTCTCTTTTGGTGAGGTATGCTTAAAATTTTAGTTGCCCATTTTATAAATTTTCAAAATTTTGTGCAGCTGGCTAGCTGATACCAGAAAAGTAGTGCACAGCTACTGTATACATGTGTCTTGCACAGGCAGTTATCATTCTGTTAAAACTAATCAAAATGATGTGATTTTTCTCGTGTGCTGGTTAGTTTGAAGAGTATGTAGCTGTTTGTTTGGTTTAACAGCCTTTTTATATACCAGGGTAGTGTAGTGATATGTTACCTTCGTCTGGATTGGTGCAGCAGTTGTTATGGTTCTGACACTGGTCTCTCAGCTCCCTGCGTGGACCTGGGACTTCCCTGTAGTCTTTGTTGTCTTGTCTAGCTGATCTGAGGTGTCCAAGTCTCTGTAGTGTTACCAGTGATCCCACAGTGACCAGTATACACACTGTCAACACTCCAGTCATCGTGATCCTCTGTAACAAACAAAAACCACCAAGTTCTAAAAAAGTCTTTTTACTAGACTTTCTGACTCCTTAGAATGTTCAGTAAGTAAGAATCAAAGGAACTAGAAACTGTAGACATCCTGCAAAAAAGCCATTCTAATGTTGCTGGCTAGCTGGGGGAAACTACAGAGGATGGCACCCAGCAGGCTATATGCTGTTATCATATAATGAATAATACTTCTCTATACGATACCTGTATGTGTAGTTTATGCACGTACATGTAATGCTACCAGTATACTTCTACTCCTACGTCTACCTTTCATATTGCACATATTAAGTCAGATGTGAAATAAATTACCACAGAAGAAGTACAGAGCTGCCTAAAGAGGAAAGGAAACTGGAAAACACATCAAGACAGAAATAGAAGAAAAACACGGGTGAATAATTGACAATTTCTCACCAGGTCTAGTACATTGTAATTATGTCTGATGAATCAAGGATGTTAAAAAACTGGATTTAAACTTCTTGGTAGAATGTAAATAGTGCCCACAACCCAAATGAAATGACAGAAAACATAACAGGCAATATACATATAACAACTACCTGTGGCTTCTTTCATTGCTAGATAGAAAGGCTAGTTTTGTTATAGATCCTAATTTTGTTGTAGATGCCATAGTGCATAAATTAAGTAAGACACTGACCTGACAGGAATCGTGCATGGGTTGTTCACAGGTAGTCCCAGTAAAGGAACGGACTATGAACAGTACTCCTGTCAGCAGGATGGGTGTCCTGGAAACAATCAGATACATTACTGGTACATGATCTTAACTACACGTATATACATGTAATGTGCTGGTACAAACGTTTGTAATTGCTGTGGAAATTCAGAGCACTCAAATTCAACAGCCACAACAGCCCATATGTTCAAGTATTTCATATCCTTACCCCCAGCTGGCTATATGGAACAGTCCAATGTTCCTGCTGACAAAGTCTGTCCCCTCCTTCTTCAGTAGGAACAGCCCAACAGCCAACCCTGCTGTCCACGTTCGACAGCTGATAGTTCCGATCAGCATGACCGAGGCTGAGAGATAGACCTGCCAGGTGTTCACACTGTGTGTATATCCTAGTGTGTAGAACAGGATCATCCCAACACAGCCTAGGACCTGGGGGGCACAAAAATCAGTCTACTTTTACAGAATCATCATTTCATATTGTCAAGCAAGTTGCTTATAGATGTTCTTGAGTCTTTTCTCCATTTCTATGGAACCTCCATAGCCATAGTAGGTAGTAACATATTGTCCCACAGTATCTAATTTTCAGGTATAATTATAGGTTCAACTTAAGCACAACTGAAGAAACATGCACATACAATACATAGTCTGTAGTCAGAACTTATGGTATCAATGGTATCATCCTTTTATTGTAAAGTTTTTTGTCGTACCTGAGAGATGACCAGACATGTGGTGAGTTTGTGAGGAAGTTGCTTGAACTTTCCAGAGAGGAAGAACACTGCAAGTACCCAGACCTGGGGAGGTGAATAAAAAAGGATGCCAAATATAAAAATTTAAAGCAAATTAAAGGTGCAGATCATTAATTACAGCAGAAGAGTATCATTTGTCTGAGATAAAAGATACTGAAGATGCCTTAACCTTCAAACTGCTGTGGTCCATCTACATTTCAGTTTAACTTTGCTTACAGAGGAAGTCAGCAAGAATGGGGTCATAAAGCTTTTTTTACTCTAAGCATAGCAAGACAAGGAAAACATGTTCCTACTGCACAAATTATAACAACTACTAGTATGATTTTCTCTGAGGTTATGACATGGGTATAAAGTAAGTTTTTTTCAAAGTTGGCAGTTGGCTACTTACACAGAAGATGAGTCCAATGATGCTGACATCGAACGCTGTCCTGGTGACCAGAGCCATGAGGTTTGTCTGTGTGTCCATGGACAGACTGCTCATCTGTGCTGACATGAACATCACTGGTGCAGACAGGAAGGTACACACTACCAGCCCTGGACCAACCTGGGTGGGTGGGTTGGCGGGTGGGTGGGTGGTAGAAATAAACTCAGCACAACTAGCTACACAAAGTTTCATTGAAGACATTCAGACACTCAAAATGCAACTGTGATGTTTTTGCAACAATTTCATATACTAGAAATGTTACCAGAAGTAAATAAATGTGAATCTTCAAAAGTACAGTGTACATGTACATGTATGTTGAAACAAGCAAAATCTCTAACATAGCTTTTGAAACATTGCTTGCAGACTACTCTTCTCATGATACCATATACTAGTACATGTATGTATATGGGGAGTCTTCACACAACTTTCAGTCCACAAAGCTATTTTCCACAGCCAAATTTGAGCTGAAATTTGATGTTTCAAAAAGACAACAGTAACAGAGAAAATTACCACTTCAGTTGCCAGGCCATAGTTGGCGGCAAAGATGAAGACAGAAGGTGCCACGGGGAAGGTTCCGTACAGGAAGCCATAGTCACGGAACTCTTCTGTCATGTTGGTGTCGTTACCGCCGACCTGGAGTCCCACGACAAGTTCACGGGCAACAAACGGAAGCAGCAATCTGTCAAAAACAAAACAACAATCACTCATTCAGAAGTGTACATTTACTTTTTATTTATTTCAAGAAGAAATTCACACTCAGCTCTAAGGCTTAACTCATAGGCTTTCTTCTGTCTTTTCTTGTTACGTGCATACAGTTAAAGCCCCCAAAGATCTGTACCTTACTAGTTAGCATAGTTACTATAGTTGCTGAGTCTCTTTCATCCTATCCATAAATAGGAGAGGACAAAAGAGACTCAGCAGCTACAAGTAAGCCTTAGAAGCAGCATGTCTTATACAAGTTATACTCATATTCAAATTTCATATTGAATGTTCCTCCTTACGTCTTGACTGCCACCAGGATAGCTGGCACAATGAAGGCAAAGCGAGCCTGTTGGCTGATCTTGCCGACCATACTGAGTCCCAGGTAGAACAGGGCTGTGGCACTGAAGGACTCCCCCAGCACATTCAGGATACCTGACAGGACAGGTGGCACGGTTTGGTGGAAGGCAAAGTTTGCAGCAATGCCAATCATCATCATGAAGATGATAGGCTTTGAAATCACCCCCTTTATAACCTGAAAAAAAGAGATTATATTCAGATTAACTGGCAATGAGCATGAAGTCTTCTTTTGTTGGAAAGCTACAAGTACCGTTAATTTCTTTTCTCATTTTCTTACCTTCTTTTTCTTTGCTCTAAGTCAGCGAGTCTAAGCAGCAATTGGATGGCACCCAGGCTATAGGAAGATGTGTGTGGTGCCTAGCTTATAGTTATACTACATGTATAGTGGTCACCTACATGTATACTACACTGGGCACAAGTACATGACATTGTATGTGATATTGAATGAGTTCACTGTATCACAACACAATTACCTGTAGAACACTCCTGCACCTGCTCCGAGCCTCTGTGGAGTCGATGTTCTTCTGTACCTCCATGAGTGTGAAGCCCAGGGGGTTCAGGATGGCTACAGAGATGGGAGCCAGCAGGTAGATGTAACTCAGCAATTCTGGTCGACTGGCACCATAGATGGCTTTTACTGCAAAACAACAACATGAATCATATGTACTCTTGGATCAACATAAATGTACTTGTAGGTCATTTCTAACTTACTTTCTGCTGGTAATCATCAATGTTGTTGTTAACTTGTAACTTTGATGATGCATTCCTCTGTCGTTTATCAGTAAACTGAATGAGTCATTGAAGAAGTGGAATTACATGTAGTACAGTGTACTAGTTTTCATCTGGTAGAATGGGTCGTCTAAAACTTTAGGCAAACGAACTTGTTAAAAACCTTAACCAGCTGTTTATTTTGTATAATGTATTATGATTATGTAAATGGCTGGCTTAAACCTCCACCAAGATACTGTACACTACAGTACTAAATGTAATATTGTGTTTCATTGGTTCTTACCGATGGGATATCCTAAGGCAAAGTCGTTACTCTGAGTGGCAAAGATCGCGAACAATCCAGCTTTCCCAAAGTTCCTCCCTAGCACCAGCGTGAACACAGCCACCAGCAGGAACACTGAAGACTTGGCAATGGCGATGGCCAGGAGGAACCACCAGTTGACGACCTCAAACTTGAGCGTACACATGGCCTGGAAGAGAAGGGCAGGGAGGGCGAGGTAGGAGATGTAACTCTCCAACCCTTTAGCGGTGGACGTTGTGATGATTCCAAGTCGTCCGAACAGATATCCAGCGAAGATGATGGCAAAACACTGGATAATCGCTGGGTACAAGTTGTCAAACACAGCTGATGACGACATCTTGGTGGCTTTTTGGGTCCAGGACCTTGCTGGGGGCACAGTCGAGAAGGAAAGGCTAATGTTTATCAAGCTTGTTTGTCAAATAGCGTGTTTATCATCATCAAGCTGGTGTGTTATACCGGCTGTACAGATACAGATATCAAAACTCTCTTAACACATTTATTTATCAAAATGACTGAAGCAGAGGTTGGGGCCTCTTGGGGTACCTGCAAGAATAAAACCACTGAAACTTAAAATCATAACAGGACAGAAAAAGTGAACTTGGCACTAAATTCAACTTTCAAAACTGCTGTCTCATGCTGAATGCCAGAACTTGTATTTTATAGTCAGGAGAAGTTAAAGGATATAGGGTAGCCGTGGACCGTGGTAACGCTTTAGCATTAGGCTTCTTTCACGTAGGGACAATGAAGGATAGTTTGAGGAAGACAGCAAGCAAGAGCCCTGCAACTGTGGCCAGGCCGGATGTACATGTACATGTAGGGGTGGGTCAAATTTAAATTCTAGTCACGCCCTTCCTCAGTGTCTGACCTTGCTTGGTGTCACAGCATGCAGTAATGTGTATGAAATCCGTTATATCATTAAAATGGTACATGATGTTACCACATCCATTACAATGTTCTTGAGCTTACAACAATACACGACACAATACTTAAGTTGTATACACATAAGCTACATGTTTACAAACAGCACTGTCTATAATTTGTCATCTCAACAATCAGCACTGTAAAGTGTAAGAAACAGGAGCGAGTAGAAACATATCTAAACGACCAACAATTTGTTTTCAGAGTCCTGGATTATAAAGATCAAACCTAACCTTCAGGTCCTTATGGTCTGGTATCTCTTATGTTGACGACTCAAGCCATGTTCCCGACAATAAAGTTACATACATCGTAGGATTACGTCACAACGTTACACAACTGTCAGCTGCCAAACCTCGTGCACATACCAAACCGGCGTGACCTACTTTCGTCAACTACGATCATTCCACAGTCAAGATTCTAAGGGGTACTTTGATACGTTGTGTTTAAAAACTCTCTATTTACGAATGCAAATGTATTTAGATACTTAACGTAAATTTCCAGAATATAGACTTAAGTACATGACGGAAGAACTAAATGGTGTAATGGTGTAATGTTTATAGTAAAATAATTTAAGAATTTACCCCCAATTTGAAAGTGAGCTAATCCTTTGCAACAAAGTGTACAAACCGCATCAGATTAAAATGTAAAGCATCAAATAGGAAAAATCAAAAAGACATATAAAATGTAACTAAAATGCATGCAAGCTGTAAATAAATTTAAAACGTTTTTTTCACTAACAATTTTTTTTATACATTTGAACTGTTCGGTAATCAGCCACTTTATTTGTTCTTGTTGCGTGTTGTTTGTTTTCATTTCTAGATTCAAAATGGCTACCGCCAAACGGTTTCCATAGGGACAGACGCAGTTTCGTTGAATTTTCCCGTGTTTTTACGACCGTGGGTTCATTATAACACACTCTACAATACCAGAAACGTATTGTCCTTATAATATATATCAGAAAATCTAATTTAGGTCGTGGCTGATTGCAAGAATGGCGTCTGAAGTCGGTCGCGGTGATGAGCTGTGGAAGCTTGAGGCAGAAAATGACGACGTTGCAGGTAGGCAACTTGCTCTGCCTTGTAAAGAAATTGGGTCAACAAATAAATTGTTTTGCTAAAGCTTACTGGTGCTGTATGTCTAGGACATCGTTACTAAACAGTTGGCTTCAGCGCAGGCTATTTGGCTTGGGCTTTGTTGATGTGCGAATGCATCGCTATCAACTGTGAAAGAGTTCTCACCGTTCCACCCCCCACCCCCATCTCAGCTCCTAAGAAGTCTGTGCGCATCTCAGTGTCTCTGATCACCAAGAGGAACCTGCCAGCCGGCATCACCAAGGAGTCTGACAAACTGTGAGAAAACTGCTTTTTTAAACTAAAACATCAGACTTGTTTATGGCAATTTGTATTAAATTGTCAGGTTGTCATTTTAATAAACAATTTTACATTACAATGTCACTTGTATGGCGTAAATTTGTCCTCTTTAAGTTAAACTGCATAGTTTATAAATTGAGTGAATATGTATGCTAAATTTGAAAATGTTTTAAAATGTCAATAGCAGCAACTAAATACTCAAGGTCTCTCTCTCTCTACCTTATTTTGAGTTGGATAATGATGCAATTACTAGTAGGTATGCACCTACTCTTCTTTGTCTAATTCTTTCATTGTTTTTCTAGGGTCCAAATCTATACTTGTGATTCATATACAATACCTGTGTATTGACCATGATCATGATGTTTATTCTGTTGTGAAAGTTTCTTCCTGAAGCTCGCAAAATGCAACAGTTACTTCTCTTCCTCTTTCAGTTTCAGTCTTCCTTCTACTCCTCCCCTTCCTTTGCAGGGCTTTTGCTAAAAGACTCAAGGGTACCATAACTCTTATATCTACTGAGTGACTGTACAATAGTGTACATGGTAACTCTGCAAGAAAATAGCTTATGAAAAAAAGATAGATGAATTTTTTGTTCAATGAATTAAATTTTCTTTTCTTGTTTGCTGTACTAATTCAGATTAAACTGCAATGTATCATTTACGAAACTGTCATATCTTGCTCTCCCTAATTAGTGTAACTGCGCTGATGAAACTGACACATCTTCGACTGGACCGAGAAAATATCAGTGAAATCGACAACCTGGAGTGCCTGGGGCCTATTACAAACATATACCTGCAGCAGGTAATGCAATAATTATTGTAATATTCATAACACTGATAATATAGATGTCTACATTTTGCTGTCATGATCACAACTCTGAAGTATTTTTACTCAAAATTTCATATTTGTTTGAGGAATGTTTAAAATGTTTCCTGGTGGTTCTACAGAACCAGATTAAGAAGATTGAGAACTTGGAGTGCCTTCCTAAAATAAGGTAAGTCAGAATAATGTCACTGTGTCATGATTTGCTGCAATATAACTTCTGGACAAGCTTATGTACATGTAGCTTCAAGCATATTATAGTCATGCATACAAAATTCATAAACAATAGATATACAGTGTAAGTAGTATGATTAAAGGAGCATAATATTTATGTCTAAATCAGGCCAAATTATTTAGGCTGATTTTATCTAATTCAAAATGAGTGGTGTGTGTTTGTTTGTTTGTTTGTTTGATTGATTCTGATCTCGTTCAGTGTTTTACATGTGGAACTTTGGACTAACACTGTCTTATTTTTACTGGTAGGTTTCTGTGTCTAGCTGGTAACCAGATCTCCAAGGTTGAGAACCTGCAACATCTGACTGGTTTGGGTTTTCTGGACTTGTCTGAGAACCAGATAGAGGAGGTCAACCCAGGTAAAATCTCGTATATTCTGAAGTGGCAGATGATGAGTACCATTTCTTTTCTGTTAAGGACAGAGATGGTTCTTATCCTTTCTGTAGTTTCTTTGGCTCTTTGCTCCCTGAAAATATGTCAATACTGAGGGTCTTACACTTGCATTGCTTGTAAGATGTATATTGTTTAATATGACCCCTACAATCCTAACAAATTTTTTCATGTTTTCTTATGTAACTACCGGTATTGTATCATCATCATCATCATCATGTCGGGAGTTGTAGTTCCCGGTCCCAAACCCTCTCTCGCCAGTCCACTTTGTCCGTCATGGCACTCGCCAGGTACTCCTTCGGAAGACCCACATCAGCAGCCAGCAGGTCTATATACGTCATACGAGGACGCCTAGGTTTAGAATGCCCTTGTTTGGGCTCCCACAGGATCAGTTCACTAGCTAGCTCAGCCTTATTTCTGTAGACATTTCCTGCGAAACAGTATTGTATAAACAGTGTATATTTGTTTCTCCCTGTCCAGATGAACTACCAAAGAGTCTGGTTATCCTAACATTGAATGGAAACCCATGCACGGAGAGGCCAGACCTCAGGTTAGACTATTATATTATGTTATGGATTGTAATATCATTGGACCGTCGTTCCTTTGATGTCTCTGACGTTGTAAAGAAATCATTCTGTGTTGGATAACAGTCATCATCATCATTGGTCAGCTGCAACACAGGTGTCTGTCATTGTGTAAGGCACCTGTTGGTGGATAACAGTAAGAAACGTACAGTAATAAGCATATTCTGCCCTACAGAAAACAGCTGATCCAGGTGCTGCCGAAGCTGCAGCAGCTGGACGGGCAGCAGGTGACGCGGCAGGAGAAGCTGGAGGCGGGGCTGCAGGTGTCAGATGATGAGGATGATGAAGGTCTGGAGGAGGAGGAGGAGGATGAGGAGGAAGAAGAGGAGGAGGAGATTGATACTGTGGAAGGTACTGTTACACTCTGAGGGAAATACTCTCATTCATTCATCCCTTGGACAATGTATAACAGAAAACAGACGTTATTATGTCTCTGTGCAATGGTTTTGCCCAGTTCTCTGTGCAATGGTTTTGCCAAGTTTTCTGATCTGCCAGAAACCCTTCGTCCATCTAATATTGCGACACAAATATTCGTTATCATTACGTAAGACAACTGCCTGATATTTCCATCAGTTATGAGAAATACTAGGTGATATTGAGTAGGTTTCTTTTCTGCATGGTGCAGTCTTACCATTTTAGTATGGAAAAGAATATGTTGTTTACAAAGTTATAGTTACCTGAAGTGTGTATAATTTACATTTTGTGTATTTTGTATAATGATAATGTGTGGTTTATTCTGACCCCCAGGAAAGGGCATGTTCCACGACGTGACCTGTGGGATCGTGGAGAGGTCACATGAGAGAGTTAAGGATGTACTACGGCAACACAAGGATCACATGACCGAGCTGGAGGAGGTCCGCAGCCAATCAGCACTCACCATGGCTGCCACGCCCAGATTAAGTTCTAGGATGAGTGAGAGATCAGAAACTGACCAATAGGAAATGTGGTGAGGCACAGGGGTGGGGGTTCCATCAATTGTACAGGACTGGTATTTCTACAGGTACACTCTAAATTACAGAAATTTACAGTGTACTGTAGGATGCATATGATAGGGGTAAAACCACCCAAGGCATCATGCAGGAATAGTAATGGTCAAATAAAAATAGTACATGTAGATGCAGTTGGCCTTTTAGATCAGACCATTGGCATATTAGTTGCTAGTTGGGTAGTGAGGGCTATGTATAGTGTAAATATTGCTGTTATTGTCATCAAGTCTTCTATCTAGGATGTATATACTGTGGGAGGAGCCAATGGCATCAATATTTTGGGGTTTCATGCTTCTGTGGTGTAACATTAGAAAAAAGACAAACACTTAAATTAAAGGAGTAGATGATTTGTTGAATTTAATGTTGAATATGTTATCATTAGTCACTTTGGTCATATTCATAATATACACATGTATGTGTGACATTTTACATCAACAACAGTTTGTGGAATTAAAAGAAAAACACATGACCAGATGTTGTCATTGTGCATTTTCGTTTCCTCTTTCAACACAGTACCTGGCCTCAGTGTTTTGGTGTCATTAAAAAGACTAAGCAGGTTAGTCATTTTTGCTTTCTAAATGTTGATCAGAAGTGCATGTACATGTAGTTGTTGCCCATTGTTTAACATAACAATTACTACATCAAAACTTCATTTCCCTTTGGATATGCGTTATGATTTCTGTGAAACCAGGCAGTTACAAATGTACATAGTTACTGCTGAAATTAGTCAAGCAATGCATCCTGTATAATTAATGATCACAACAGAAATATAGCATTTTTCAAACAATTTAGTCAAAAACATTATTAAACAACATTGGCAAAACGTATAATCATGGTACTAGTAGTCTCTATATTCACATGCTATGAGTCATAATATCATCTAAAACATTTTGTCCTTTCACTTTTGGAGGTCAATTTGTTTACATTTCACAAGCTGTGAGTCATCTTTGGAACATTTTGCCTTTCACTTTTGGAGGTCAATTTGTTTACGTTTCACAAGCTGTGAGTCATCTTTGGAACATTTTGTCCTTTCACATTTGGAGGTCAATTTGTTGAAGTTTAACATGCTGCGAGTCATCACTTAAACATTTGTTCTTTCACTTTTAAAGGTTGATTTGTTTGGTTGTTTTTCTTTCTTATTAAAACACTGTATTCTATGGAGAAAATTTACAGTCAGCTTATTGTTTAGTACTTGGTATGTATCTTAAAAGTGAATCATTGTTAATTACATATGTACATCGTGGGGTCGTGTGGCGCAACGGCAGTGTGCGCGACTCGGAATCAAGAGGTCCCGGGTTCAAGTCCTGACATGCCACCAATCTTGCGCCCATGGGAAAGGTACTTTACACAACTTTCCCCACTAGACTCAAGTGAAAATGAGTATTGTCTGTCCAGTATTCGTTTCTATGTGCGGGGCACAACACCAGCAACAGCTGCCTCTGTTCCGTGTGCATTGCACTGTTGCAATTTCAATATATCAAATCAATCAAATCAAATTCAGAATATATGTCTGTACATTTTGTGATAGTTTTAGCTTTCTCAGCCCCCATAAGGAGAGGGAAATAATCTAAATTAAAAGTCAATTTCTCAATATATTTCAGTCCATATTATAGATATGGCTTAAATATATTGTTTTCCAGTTCCTAGGCCTCATGTTCTTGTTCCTTGGTCAGGCATTTTGACCCAATGTGTATTGAATTTCCAAATAGGCATCATGCTTTAATTTCTAGGCCAAATGATGTCAACAAGGTTACTCCTGTCTGAGTAATTTTATGATGATGATGATGACGAATGGAATGTTTTGAAATCCCTTAGTTTTTGATATTTTGAAACCTATTATTCCACAAGTGGGTACATGCCCCAGCAACCTAAAATGGCTAATTTGGAATGGTTCACTTCTTAAACCGGGGTTGTCTAAATGACGAGAACAATCTGCATTTTTACGCAAAGGTTGCCTTTCTAGTTCACAGTTTCATTTTCGTCATCAGCTGCACACAATCACCTGCAGCAGGCCGGGCCTTTGGGTCCTTCTTCCAACAACCTTTCATCAGGTCGACCCACCCACTACAGGGGGACAGAGTGTTAGGAATGGCCAGTTTGGTAGGCGGGGTAACAGACTTCTGTGTGCCAGTACTAAGAACTTTGAGCAGATACTCTTTATCCTCCGTCACACTCATACCATACCACATCTCCAGCAGACAGAAGCCCAGACTGTAGATGTCTGCACTGATGTCGTAGTGTTCCCGTCCATGGAACACTTCTGGTGCTGCATACAGCAATGTTCCTGCCTGTGTGCCTGTGACTTCCTCTAGGTGCTTTGCAAGACCCATGTCTGCAATCTTCACCACACCCTCCTCTGTAACCTGCATGCATGAAAAATTACCAGTCAAGGGAAACATGGGGGAGGGGGTATTTTGTAATCATGTTCTCAAATTGCTTTGAAAAGAAGGAGAAAGTACCATGAGTAACTGATATCAACCTATATGTATGTTTACAATACAATTATGTCATCTCTTTTTGTACAGTGCCAATAGGTGCATTAAGTGATTAACTACATTCTCAATAAGATAATGGTGGCACATTTATGCTATGTGGTTACTATTGTTGAACGGATTTCCAGAACTTAGAACTATTAGTCAAATGTCAGATGTAATGTTGCATTGGCTGTTGCTTTGTTCAATAGCTTCTGAATAAAATAATCCAAAATGTAGATTGTGGATTTATTTTTAAAATTACAAAAATGATGTTTTTTCTTCAAACTTTTTTTTGCAACATTGCTAAGCATATGACAAGTTAAATACACGTGTATTTACCAAAACATTCTCCAGTTTGAGGTCCCGGTGCATGTACCGTTTCTCGTGCATGGCCTTCAGTCCCAGACACAGCTGCAAGGCCAGGTCCCGGACTGTGCTGAAGCCTGTCTTCTTCTTAGCCTCATCATCCGGCCACCATGCAGGGGTTCGCTCTTTGTGATCATGCAGCCTGGATTTGGAAATAAAGTCCCATGAAGTGTTTGCTTTTAGAATATTCAAAGTATCGTGGTCACCTTTTACATGACAATAGCAAGTTATATTCTTACATCAAAGGATGTTTATGGCAAAAGGTGTTCAAGGAAAAATGAGTGATAAACACATATACCAGCTATAGAGTGTGTAAGGACAGTACTCCATGAGGACACCGAGACGAAGACCATCGGATTCCGGATGTGGTGCTGCTGCCAATCCGTAGAAGTCAACAATGTGAGGATCCTTCAGAAACCTGTTAAGAGGATACAAACATGTCTGTCACTCAACTGATCAGTGTATATGTCTTGCTCCAAGCAGAGACAAGCACACAAAGAAGACATTAACTCGGGTACCCCGTAACTTTCCAATATAACTAACAACAATTGTAGTACATGTACTTTGGTAAATGTTGCTTCTGTGCCGTACTTTGGTATATGTTGCGTCTGTGCTGATAGGAAGAAAGTACATACGTATGACAGAAAGCGAATTCCAAGTACTTTACTTTCAAATTGTGAGAAAGCTGGCATACATACCTAAGGCACTCTTCTTCATTGTGGAATTCAATCACGTTCTCTTCAGTGATGGGTTCCTTCGCTATCTTCATTGCTGCTTGCTTCAGACTCCCTTGTCTCTTGATCTGGACCTTGTGAACTATGCCGAACCCTCCTGACCCTATCTTCTGTAGCATAGATGCCAAGAGCTCGTCAAGATCGTACTCTATCTTCCTAAGACGTCTCAGGTTGAAGAGTGCGAGCTTCCCCAGAAGTGCGTTGCACTCTTGGTACTGCGGACTGTACAGCTGTAGAAGCTCCTTTTGGCTTCTGGACTCGTTCTCAAGAGCCTCGATCATCTGCTTGTCAGCTTCTTGTATCTTGGGAATGGCACTCTTTAGTTTGGCCAGGCACTCTATGGGCCTCTGTAGGCATTCCGTCACGAAGGCCTCCAACTGGTCTCCCTCGCAGAGCGGTTGAATCGTCTGGTCGGTGATGCTTCTGACGTACCCCTCTTTGTTTTCATTGTAGGTTTTCATGAACTTTTTGTCGACGGCCTTTTTGTCCATACTCTCCTTTATGGCTTTGACTCCGACGATTGGGAGGCCGATAACTGCAGCGAGCACACCAACTGCGATACCAACTGGTATCCATATCGGTGCGGTGACACCAAGGACGACCTTCTCAAACATTCCGAACTCTTCGTCTTCGAAGGCGATGGCAGCCTCAGCCTGTGGTGTGGCAGCCGACATTGTCTTCAGATCGGCATTCAGGGCTTGCTCAATCTCACGGTGGTGCTTCTCTTCGATGAGATTGAAAATATCTTTGAAATTCTTGATAAGATCAGCCTCTATCTTCTGAAAGTACTGGTGACTAGAGTTCCACGTTCGCATAGCTTCCTCTGTGTGCTTTAGTACAAGCTTGGGGATCTGGCCTCGGACAAAGTCGCACTCTGAGGTGGAAGTGAGACTTGGAGCTTCCTTTAGTGTGTCGCGTACAATGGTGGCCTTTGTCTCCTCACTTTGCAGGTATTCTCTCAAGCGCTTCAGTACTTTACCCGCCTTGTGTGCAAGGTCTTCTGCCAGCATCTTGATGTGGTTGTCTGTGAACATCTTAAAGTTGACCAACCGTGCCAGGACTTCGCGAGCTTTTGTTTGCCGTTCCTCCTGGCTTCTCATGGCATTGTTCAGTTTCGCTCGGACGACTTTGGTTGCTTCCTTGACGAGTGTCCAGATCCACCTGTGATGTAGGAAAAAGAAAGAAAAGGCTTATTGGTTGCCAAGAAGCCATTTTTAGGGAATTTGAAGGTTGATGAGGTTATGAAAGAGAAGTGAGGAAAGATAGACACAAACCTGTGCTGGAGCGTGAGCTTGTGCCTGAGACTCTGCGGTAGAAGTGAGTCAATCCCGTCCAGTAGCTTGTCGAGATCATTGGTCACGTACCCAACAGCTTCCTGGGCCTTGGATACAATAAACAGTCACTAAAAATTGCGTTCTTGTATGATAGTTGTAAAAAGAACATGGAAATCCACCTCCAAGACATTCGTGTGTACAGTCAGAAACATTCATACCTTAACGGCTGAGAGATGAAACAGTTGAGATTCTTCCATGGATGGCCAGTGTTGCTTCAGCTTGCGGATGGTGTCCTGCTTCACTTCCTCCTTCTCGTGTTCTGGCACCTGATCCCACTTGTTGCACACAAAGATCGCGGCTTTAGGGTCGAACAGGTGTAAATCCTTTGGCCCAATTCTCTTGGATAGCTCCATGAGCTTCAGGAGCTAGGTGGGGTACAAAAGTGTACATATTATTGCATCATCATAAAACAAATTTAGATGAAAATAGTGTCAGTAGAGTAACATTGAGGCAGCAATTGTTAATGCCTCTTAATCATCGGCTGTAACTAGTCATTGAAATGCCTGCTATACATTTATTAGGACATCATTGTACTCACCCGTCCTGGCTGTACCCCACCGGCGTTGGCACTGTTGATGACATATATGAAGGCGTACGCTTCCGAGATGTACTTGCTGACATGTTCGTCCATCTGCGGGTTCTCTCCCACACCAGGGCTGTCCACAATGAAGATGCCACCCTGGAAAGTATGAAATCGTCAGCAGCCTTCAAAACAAGATATGCGACCACCTTTCTCATTGCCTTAACATTTACAGAAAAGAGCTAATTATCTACTTTAGGCCTTATGCTCAACAATTTATAGGATAGTTGCTATTGGGAAAGTACTAGTACATGTAGATGTATAGCAATCATGTTTATAGCAGAATACGGTTTGACATATCTTATATACTTACCTCAAGCAGCGGCAATGGCCAGTAGATTTCCACCTTCTTACAGTTTGATGCTGTGTCCCTGGCTTCTCCTTTGGCGTGTATGTACTGAGAAATTCTCTTCAGGTCCACTTCCGTAGGCCCGTCTAGGGGGAGATTGTGGACCATCGATCCAGTTTTAGGGTCCGGTTCGTTTAGATGGATGACTGCTTTCTTCCTCCGGCCGTACTTAATCTCACAAATCACTGATGTTGTGCTAAGTAGCGTTGCTGGAAGGATGTTTTCTCCAAGCAGAACGTTTAGGAGGGTGCTTTTCCCAGCAGACGTTTCTCCTGAAATACACAGTGTATTCAGAAGTCATGCGGTGTATAACTGCCAATGCAATGTCAGGGCAGCGATACAAAACTTTTTTGCACCTGTAAAGAGCATGATGTTACATAAATTGTTAATATATACTAGATGTATTTTGTTGCTCACAATCATTTTTATCCGTAATCTATCGTTATTAAACGCACCTGCTACAAGTATGGGACAGTCGTCCTTCTGGAGTTGGCCTCGACACTTTTTCAGGATGTCACCAACGTCTCCGAAGATGATGCTGAGGTGTTGTCGCACGTCAGGCTCTACTGTCAACATCAGGAGCGCTTTGGCAGCATCGCACAGATGGAGGAGTTCTTGTCGGCTCTCTTTGTCACGTTGCAAAACTTCCTTCATTATGTTGGCAGCCTAGCAAGACACAACAACAACGACCATCAATTCTCTCCTCACTGAGCTAGGGTGGGAACAGCTCTCTGATCGCCGCCATATTCAGTCTCTTGTTTTATATTACAAAATCATTAACGGTCATACACGTGAATACTTAAGAGAGCTAATACCACCCCCAGTTTCAAATTCCTCTTCGTATGACCTTCGCAATAAACATAACTTTCAAGTGCCCAAATGTACCACAACCCGTTTCAAAAAATCTTTCATTCCCTACTCAACGCATCATTGGAATAACCTTAACATGGCAGACCGCTCACTAAGTCTCCCTTGTTTTAAGAAGAAAATCATTAAATTTGTGCGCCCTGCCCCTGTTCCATATTTTAGCATAGGCCCTCGGTACACCTGCGCTCTTCTCACTCGTCTTCGTCTGGGCACTTACAATTTAAACTCAAATTTGTACACACGTTGTCTGACAACCAGTCCTGCATGTACCTGTGGCCATCCCATTGAAAGTATCCAGCATTATTTTTTGTACTGCCCTAAATATACACAATATCTTGCCTCCCTTTTTAGCAATTTAGCTAAGTTGGTAGGATTTGACATAAACCTCAATGATCTCTCTGATGATGTTTTAGTTCATTTATTCCTTAGAGGTTCTGTATCACTATCATATCCAAATAACTTAAAATTTTTACTTTATGTTCAATCATATATAAAGGAAACTAAAAGATTTGAGTAATTCTTTCCTATCAATTTTGTAAGTTTTGCCTGGAGTACTTTACACATTGTAACCTTATTTATTCTATTCTGTTATTATTTAAAGCTTTGCATGTCTGTTTTTGCATTTGCTTCTGTATTTTTGTAATCATTATGTTAGATGGCGACATGAACATAAGCTCCGGCTTGAGTGTGTCGTCATCCTGTCCACTTTGCTCCTAAATGTTTTAATAAGAAAAAAAAAACGACCATCGATCAGGAATGAAGATGTGGTAAGGTTTCTATTTGTTTGTGAGATCTGATGATGCATCACTAGGAAGATCTTTGTTGCATGTATGCTATTATGCAACTTTAAATTTATTGTATTGTATGATAGGATACCACACGGTGTTGTTACATTACTTCTGCCAATTATATGATTAGGGAACCATACAAAGAAACAAAAATCCACTTCTTCCATGCATGTATTGATCTATGACGGTCGTGTTACTCCGGAGACTTGTAACGTGATCAAATATGTGGTGCACAAAATGGAAATAATGAATCTCTTATTTGGCCTTACCAGGTGTGTTTGCCTTTTACAACATGTGAAAGTTTAACATATGTATCAGGCCATTAGTATGGCATGAAGATTTTTCTCCCCTTTTCAAGTTTTCAGGTTACGACACGCGTTCTTTTTTCCTCATAAATATCACTAGGCATTTCCTCTATACTCAAAAACACATTACACTGTGTAACAACATAGTTATTTGATTCATCATACAATTGTAAACAGCAAGTAAATATTTGGACTTTTTAACATATTTGGAATACAAAAATATATGACATATTTTCTGAGTTCCAACACTTATGAAGGTAACTAAAGGGCCCAAAACATCAACAAACAAGAATTCCGAGATTTCATACCTCCATGAAATATGGGCTTGATATGTAAATGTCAATTTCTTCTTTAATTATGCTAATTGCCTCTGCATTAACATGATATACATGTATGCATCGTGATGTATGTCAACTTTTAATTAAGTTACAGATGTCTTAAGTATGACATTCCCATCATTCACCATTAAGAAAACATAGAATTTTTGCATAAATCATGCAAATTAGGTCATCATTTGCATAATTAGTATCTGTTGATGTTCTGCCTGCCATAGGTTACATACATTACATGTATGAAAGTAGTATAATGTAAAACACTGTAATTGTAGAATTTCCTCATTAATTATGCAAATAAATTCCTCATTTGCATAATTTGCATTTAATCATGTACATCTCTCTCTCAGCTTCTAAAAATTATGAAAATATGTTGTTCCTATCTGGACTCGCCAGAAAGTCCCTGCAGTTCCAGAACAAGCTGCTAGGGGGACCAAACTCACACCACTTATTCCTGACAGGAAAAGCAATCTGTCACCAAAACATCAAGACCATAGCATGTTCAAGACAAAAGAATACAAAAACTGGAAGTTCTGCTGCAGTACCAAGGTCATCCACCAGGAGGCCCATATTTGACCTTGACGTTTGTCTTCCTAAGACTTACCAACATACCAAATATCA